GTACATAGAATTCTTTTATTTTCATGATCACTTCATTCAAAGCAGATCTCAATATATTACACTCGATGCAAAGCTTGAACAAAACATGTGAACCGAACGGTGATTTCTCGTTTTGTTTTAAAATGACGAGCAACTGAAGAGTCCGTTTTTTCATCAAAACTTACACATTTGGCATGAAAAAAACGTATGTTCTTATTCCAAAGTCACTGCAAAAATATACACACAAAAATTCCCAACGTTAAGTATTGCAAGGAGACACATAAGACGGAGAAAGCAAGAGGGGGAGAAAGCAAGAGGGGGGGGGGGGGGGGGGAAGAGAGAGGGGGCACAATATCAGAGTGTTTGGGTAGGATAAAATATCAATAATTGATTGTGTTATTAAATATTGTTAAAAGTCATGGCAACAGAAACAATTAAAATTAGTATTATGACCAGAAAAGCTTTTTAGAATAGTTAAAATATTTTTTTCTTTCATTTCATTAAAAAAAGATTATGCATGAATGATAAAAAGGAAATAAATCATTCATACATGTAAGAATTAAAGGCCTCGTTTAACAATGTTAAATCTGAGATGCATGGCCCTACGTGTCATCAGTGTCCGTTATATGGTGGTATATTGAGCCCTAAAAAAATTGAGCTTCAAAATGATCATGAAGTGCCTCAAAAAGAAAAAATCTTTTGAGTTACCGGTTTTACCATACCAGTACTCATTTTCCCCAATAGACTGTAGTGTTAGAAAAACCGGAAATTTGATTTCGATTTCCAATCATCAATATTTTGATTATCAGACAAAGTCATGGGGTTCCTGACTGACCTTAAGGTTTATAATTGTCATTGCAGCACGAGCTAAATCCAGGATTTTGTTTCAGAATCTGAGACAAAGTTACCCTATCCCTTTAAGGTAAGAAAAAAAGAAAGTTTTGACCTACCACACACTGGCAACAGAAATACAACAAATATGAGATTTTTAAATTTAATGTAATGTACTAGTACATGGCAACAATCTACCAGCTTTTTCATCCTTGAAAAATTATTTATCTAGATCGACTGCTGATCAAACATGATAAAACTTGAGGGAAATAAATCTTAAATTGAAAAGAATTGACATCATAAGCGGAAGACAGTGAGAAAGAGAAACTACTCTTTCACATTCAATGACTTTGGTGCGATTTCCTTGAGGTGAATAATTAAAAAGCTCTAGAATGAAATAAGAAATGAAATTCTATTATTTGCATAACCTTGATCAAATACTTTGAATCAGTCTCATGAAAATAATATAGAATCCACTTCCCATTCATGTTTGAATTCTTACTGCTCAAATCCTTTTTAGTATCGTTTTTTATCTTTTACATCACAAAAATACAAACTGCTAGTGTAGCTACACAAGTTCTTTCTGGTTTCCTCATAAAATATGTAATTTGTCTATCTGGAGCCAAAAGGGCATTACCTCTATAAAAAAAAAAATTAAAAAGAGTTAACAAACAGACAATATATAACTTCAGGTTATTTACAATACAACAGGAAGTGCAAAGATCTTTCAATGCAAATACTGGTACATTGTATTGTTTATACACGTAGTACATGAATATCATTATTATCCATATGAACATAATTTAATCCATAATACAGATTACTATGTATTATACAATCTGTCTTCATAATCACTATATACACACTTATATATTCACAATTATACACATAGTGCACAAAAAGTATCATGTTTCAATTATTTAGTACTACATATATAAAAAGTAACTACAATCCCTATGTAGGATTTTTCATGCTGAGTAACAATATGTATGTGATTCTATATGGGATGAAATAAAACTTTAAAGTTTCCACACATGAGAGATTTAAAGCATTCTGTTGTTCAGTATAAGATGAAATATTTCTGCAATGGTACAATGTAATATCATTGCAATGATATGACAATGATGTTATCTCTTTTTGAAATACCCTTCTGTAATCATATTCACACATTACACCATCTGTGATCGAATGTATCCCATAGACAATAGGTATGGCCGCCTGGGTTGGTATTCTGAAAAGCATGTCATCTTCTATGTTAGTAAAATAATTTCAATTTACACCACACATCGAAATGAGGACAAGTCATTGGTTAACGTGGGCACAAATCTTGCTGCATAGGCGTCAAGTTATGAGACATCTGTACAAACACAAATTAGTGTTAATCCTACATAATATCAGTTTGTTATGACAATCGACCCAATTAACCCACAGCAGTTCAGTCTCCTTTTGGAGACTTTTTCCATTAACATCAATTTTCCTCAACATAAAAAGATAACATAGTTTTGAGAATACAGCCTCTGCAAGAAATAACTCTGTACATCCGCGAGCCTCGTTAATAAACGAGGTAGTGAACTGCCTCAAAGCCCTGCCGCAACAAAATAGAACAACATAAGTGTTTTGTGCTTCTCAATCATAATAGCTACAATGGAGGTACTTTTATAGTATATACATATCCACCCCAAGGGATGCTTAAGGCAACTACAAAGTATCACCCTGGCTTTAGCCCAGCTGCCCTAAAACAAAACATTCACGGAATAATTTCCTGCTAGGTACACATTAACTACACCATCAGATTTGGAAATCTGTTTCATTTTTCGTTAAACCGCAATTCAAAGTTGCAACTTATATCACACCAAGGTGTAAAAACAAAATCCATGTGAATCAATTTTTTTTTTCCAATCAAAGATTTGAATCAGTACTTGAGGGTATTCACTAGGGTGCAATAAAATCTGAGTGTATTTTGTGCCATTGTGAATACCCAAATAGCGCTACGTCGCCATAACATCACAAACAAAAACCTGTGTATTATTTGTTTTATAAAATGGGTAAACATCCATTGATTTACACGCAGCCGTGTGTTATGCTTTCCTGTTGCACACTTTTTGTACGGCTGAGATCACCAGGATGCGTATGGTTAAAATTAATGCAGGCGCACGTGATCCATTTTTTTGCTTCTCATTGGCTACATTCTTGAACCCATTTTATAATAAAAGTTAATGCATGCACACGTTATCCATTTTGACGCTTCTCATTGGCTACATTTTTGAACCCATTTTATAAATGTCAATAGCGTACACAACATGAAACACAAGTACACATCAAGAATAATACTTTGTTATAAGCTTCACCGCAAGAACGCTGTAAGACTAAGAGGTCTGTGTTGTCATGTCAATGGCAGGAAGAGCTTTCTTGCGTAGGCTGAAGACAAGCGATTTTCAGATCACACCAATACATCAATCCCATATCCCTGACTCGATGGCAGTTGATTTTATGATTTAAAGATCATCCTGTAAACTGAATAATAATAACTAGTACAAAGGTTATGATGTATTACTAATCACAATATTGGCTTCCTGTAACAAAATACATTTTCATGAGGAAGATATTCCCAATGTGCTTTAAAAGATAATACCTGGTATAAACTGCCATGAGATGGTTTAGTTGGAACAATGGTTCCCCAGGTGACATGAACATGGCCTGTGACGAGTACTCGGATACTCCAGTACTGGCACATTTGACAACTACACGAGTACGATTTCTCGTACACGTATACGAGTACACGGGTATCCGCCTGTAAGCCTGGGCGTGTACTCGAGTACCTCATACACGCTTATGCCACTATGAATATGATGGACAAAGAAAGAGGACAAAATATACAGTTCCTCAGGTAGACAAAGGAACATCCCTTCACTGCTATTATGTAAAAATGTGTAGAACAGGTGTTATTCACCTGTTCTACACATTTTTACATAATAGCAGTGAAGGGATGTTCCTTTGTCTACCTGAGGAACTGGGGCCCGTTCCTACAAACCGTCATAAGTCTAACTTCTTGACTAAATCAGCGTTAGTGAACAACTTGTCCGCTACGTGTTTCACCAAGCCCTCTTTGCCAAGATCAACGACAACATCCTGACTAAGGAGTTATGACACCTCTGACACCGTCGTATCTCTGTCATAACTATTTAGTCGATGGGCAGCGCCATCACATGTCATTTATTGGGTAGACTATGGCTGGCAAAAAAGGACAATAAATCCTCCAACTATGATTTTTCTACACATTCACTTAAACAGTGAATTATCGTTTTTTGTATTTGATAATCTCATGAAAATATGCCATGTTTGTATTTAAGGATTTTTCCACTTAAATAAACTGATTATACGCCTTTATTTCCACATTGTAAACTCGTCGAAGGGATATGTATTTTGCCACGGCAGGCAAGCCATAGTTTGAAGTGTATTCTTTAGTTTTCAGACCCATATTAATTTCGAGATGAATTCTATTTTCAATTATGTAAAGTGAATGGTTTAAACATATGTTTTAACCTTTGAAATATTGAAGTTTTGTAATTTTTATATTGTGCTGACGCCAAAAACATTGAACACAAATTTCATTACATCGTATTTTTTAAAAGAATAATATAAGGGTGTATTTTTATAAACTATCAAATGAAAATATTCGGGGGGTGCCCATCTCAACAACAAAACTGATACACTGGTCATGTAATGAAAAACTCACAATTATATTTTACAAGTACTTCAATTGTTTAATCTACACAAATTTGGAAGTATATTGGATCTCTTATTTCTTGGTATCATTTTCAATCTTTTTTATTACTAATTCATTTAAATAATTGCATTTTCCCTAATATTAATTTTGTAATAATCTGGTGGTATTGCGACTAAGGCTAATTCTCGGCTCCTCTTCTCGCCGATAATATCGATCTCACGAGATACTAGCTAGTAAGCTCTTCGTGAAACGGTTTAGGAAGATCAGAGACATCTCCGTAGTTGGCGGATAAAGTTATGACTGTCTTGTCGTTGGTTTCTAGGAACGGGCCCCTGTATATTTTGTACTCTTTCTTTGTCCGTCATATTCTTATAAACAGCCCTATTAAGGCTATTTTTATGAGGGACGCAGCCCTAAAGAAAAAAAATTGTATGAACACATCAGCAAGGATACTTAGCACCTCTTCATGAAAGAGCCTCAAATAGAAAGCACACTTTTGCACATCACAAATCTCCTCCCTCCTTTCCTTCCCCGACCACCATCAAACAAAATTATGCAGCATATTATTTCACATTTGATTAAAATGCACTCCTTCTTCTTACAATACGATGTTCATTGCTTAAAATTTCACAAATATAAAAGGAAGACCGATTAAGGATAGGTTTGATTAAGACACAATCAAAATCACTTACAAGTCCAAGGTATTTGGTTATTAGCTCTTCCATATGATACCAAGAATAAAGAGAAATACACACCCCCAAAATTACATCACAACAATCATTTTCCTTCTTAATCCATCAGGTTAGTAACATATGACACAAATACCTTGGACTTTCCCAATTGTAATAAAATCAATCGCATTTTTTCTTTATTTGTTGTTGAGAAGAGCTCTCGAAGAATATTGCGGCAAGATCATCTCTCATCATCACAGAAGCCTACATTAATGATGCTGCCATCTGGTTGCTAGGAGTGCTGTCACGGTCATCATGGCAATGGCTAGGGTCACGGATCCCTGTGGTCCAGGTCGCGTAGCATCTCCAGTCAGCTCTTGAGCCTTGGCCAGAGCCACCTACGAGATGAATTTAAAAAGATGAATATACCAATTAAAATGGGAGAGATATGTCTTACCTTATGAAGATTTACAATTGAACCTTGAATAATCGCAGCTAGACTCAAGATTGATATCAATTGGAACATAACGGATAACACTTGGAGAGATTCCTCCTAATTTCGATTGTTGGGTTTTCTGCCTTTAAAGTAATGATTTAAACCCTAGATCAACCTCTTTTCCTAAAAACTTTTAAGGAAAAGCATAGACATATTGATTGTACAGTCAAACCTGCTTCAGTGACCACATGTCTACAAAGGCCACATCTGTTGTTTCCTTTTAAAATGGTTTCTCATTGAATCATGTACTAAAGGAACCCGTCTGTACTTAAGCTGCTCTCAAAAAGGCCAGAGACTGAAAACATTGATAATTAAGTAATATTGACTGCCTTCTGGGCAATACGACATATATCGCCCAAACCGAAGGTGAGGGTGATATATGACAAGTTGTATTGCCCTGAATTAGGCAGTCAATATTACTATTATTAACCACATCAGACATCTTAAGATCTCGGCCGCAAAGCGGCCAATCGCCGCGAAAATTTGCACGCATGTCAAGTGAAGTGTATAGAATAATATGATAATTTCAATTTTTTTTAAAATTCACTCATTTGCATATTTATGGTGATTTATGCAAATGATGTCATAAAAATCACATTTTTAACCATAAATCATATATTATTCATATTTAAGCATTCTTTTTCACTACATTTATTCATTAGACCATTCTGAATAATAATACAACAAAAAATTTGGAAGAGCCAGCTTATTCCTTATGTTATCCCTTGTTTTGATAATTTCTTATGTATTTCATTGTTTTTTTAACTTATGTATTTCATTGTTTTTGTTGTTTTATTTCATTTCTTACTACAATTCAACTATTTTGACTCCCTAAACAACCACCTAAACTTGAAACAAGACCCAATAACCCATGTTTGACCTGTTTTTAGGAAAAATGACTTTTCCATATGTTTTGTACACAAATCACGAAAATGAGCGATTTTCGGGCTGACATGCAAAGACAAAAGGTCACGTGACCTTGTAACCGTAGGTCCGATTTTCAAAAAAAATCTTTTAAAAGTTGCGCAAGACTCGAAAGAAACTAGATGGAATTTTGACTGCGCGCAGTCGAAAATGATGCCTCCGCCATAGAGCAATTTAAACAAGTTTGGAGTTTAAATCTCCAGTGGTTCTTGAGATATCATGATAACAATCTCAATGTATGGAATTTCATAAGTTGACCTCTATAACCCTTGACCTTTGACCTACGTGCTCCAAAATGTAATCAGATTGTTTTCCTATAGTGATACACACTATCACTAAGTTTGAAGTTTAAATCTCCCGTGGTTCTTGAGATATCATGATAACAATCTCAATGTATGGAATTTCATAAGTTGACCTCTTATCCATCAAACCTTGAGAGCAAAATAAATTTAAGAATTGCCCTGCTCAGATGTCTGATACGGTTAATAATAAGAATTATCTGGATTATATAGCGCTTAATACAGATATTATTACCCTGGTCAAGGGATTCATTCATGCACCATCTCCACTCCCTACCATATTTTCACTGCGAGGGCATCGGCAATTACTAACACAAATGCTTTCATCACCCTACTGGGTCACCATTTCTCTCTTGGGTATTGAGTGGCAAATGTAGATTAATGCTTTGCCATTAGGCTCTGTTCAAGACTTTATGGAACCGTGTGTCGAATGTCAAATTAGAGCCTGTCCCTGCAGACTATTAGACATCTGCCTAACATGAAGCTATCTACATACCTCTTCATTGGGGTTTCCTCCTTTGGACGGGTCAAACCATAGCACCATACAGGACTCTGAGTCCGGGACCACTGTGTAGGACTTGTTCCAGATTGTCTGACACATATTTGAAGCGTTACCGAACTTGGCCTCAAACGTGTCGCATGTGGCATCTGAGGGGCATTCATTCTCACCTAGCAGTTAAAATAAATCAAACATGACACTTAGACTAAGATTTAACCCATTGGCTACTGGAATCAGATGGTCACTGTATTAAGTCTATGGGATTGACAGAATTCAAGGGCAAACAGGTTAAAGATAAACTTTAGTACTGGTAATGCGATTGCATTGTGAAAGAAAAGGTGTGGAAAGGTTCAGAAACAGTTGATCATGTAGCATGTAAGTATTGGTGTGCACTGCAAGGTTCTGGAATCATCAAAATCATAATAAATTTGACCGAGTCTTGGTAAAGTAACAAGCACTGTACACAGAAAGCTATATGTGGGACAACACATATGGTGTCGGGGCTAGTACTACCTTGATTTCCTTGTCTTTCTATGCTCACTACTCAGCCAGTATACATTTTCTTCCAAAATTGTTTGGCACATGTCATGTATTTGTAATCTTGAACATTCAGTGTAAGTTCCGTTTGATTCCGTGAGAATTAATTTTCTTTTTTTACCAGAACTGGAGTTTATCTTTAAATTACCTCCCAGCCCCCAACTTTCACAGATATAGAAGGATAATTCCTAAAATATTACTTTTCTAACTTTGCTACATTTCGTCAGCAATTAGTAAGAAAAGGTAAGGTTGATTTCTGGTAAAGGTGATACATTTTGTGAGCTTTTTCATTCCCTTTATATCAGTTTGGAATTCATTACATAAATATCCTCTGAAAGGAATTGCTCTTCAAGTGCCTTCATATCCAAAATAAAAGCAGAAATAGCTGAAGTGTATAGACTAAACTGTCATGCCACATTTGTAAAGTCATATATACCGATTTCAAGGTACAGGGCATGTGCTGATCAATTTCTTATTATAGCAATCTGATGATTACAAAACCTCACTGTACACATCAATCCTATGTACCGGTACTACATGATTAACTACATGATATTTCCCAATGACTTCCAGACAATTTCTGTCACAGTTTCATTGCATGGCCAGAAATCAACTTCATGTTTTCAGGAGAAAGAAAACTAACAAACATAAAATATGGTCTTATTAAAAATTGTAAGCCAGTTGAATATGATTTGGTTACTTAGCAAAGAAAACAATATCTCCAAAATTTGCAGTTTTCTAGCTAGTCATTCTCTCATGGGAGTCGCCATTTTGAATTTTATGCAGGTCAATGGACGTGTACTACACTGACATCATTCGTTTAATCAAAATGGCAGTTCTAATGGGAAAATGGCTGGCAAGGAAACTGCCAACTTTGGAGAGATTGTTTTCCTTGCTATGGAATCAAAGAGGAGTAATTTCAAAATAATTTTAACTGGCTGACAGTTTGAATAAGATTATCAGCTAAAGTTTGTTGGTTTCATTCTTCTTCGATACCAAGCCCATCAAATACATGGGGGTTGTTTCACAAAGATCCCAAGTTGAACTTATCTCTAAGTTGGACTAAACAATTATGGAAAGCCATTAGTATCTTTAAAATTATTATTATTTTTTTTTTTTAAAGGCATAAAATGTTGATTCAAATCATTCAAATTTTCTATCATCAAGGAGATTTCATGTTCTTAATGTGGAGTTTCAGAAAAGTCTGAAATACTTGATTTTTGCTTTTGATTATATTATATTTAAGGCTACAAATGGCTCTCCATAATGTTTAAGTCCAACTTAGGGTTAATTTCGGATAGGATCTTCGTGAAACACCCCCATGGTGTATCATTAAAAAAATAAACAAACTTAAATGCACAAATAGTAGAAGAACGCACCTGATGACCAATCCCATCCTTTAGCCCAGTTATCTTTGCAGGTGAAGTCGTCCCGGCATGCTTCCCACCAAACGTTGCACTCGCTCTCACACAGCGGCACATGCATGAAACGCTCATTCCTGATGCTGATGTTGTGCTGGAGAAACAGACAGAGAATGGGAAGATAAATGGATGAATGATCTGGGACCCGTTTCACAAAACCTTTTTTTCAATGACAAATGACAAAAATCAGTGACAAATCTGCCGGTAACCAATCAGAAGCAAGGATTTCAGTAGCTTATAACACAAAACTGTTGTTTGTCACTGATGACATATTTTGTGAAATGGGCCCTGATATCAGCAGGGCTCCCCACCAATGAGATGGTGGAAGAATTGATGCGAATATTATCAACAAAATTGACTGATATCAAACTCTGCCTAATTGAAAAGAAGGGGGAGTATAAGGGAAGAATCGAGAAGAAGAGAGATGAGATCTGAACAATACAATTAGATGGTAGTTCAAAGAAAGGAGATGCAAGGAGAAGTTTCAAATTTTCACTAGTCTGCTTCTCTAATTTCCCTGCTTTCTTTCAGAGATATTTGCCATTAAGGTTTGATTTTCCTTTCATCTGATTGTGTCAATTACCACTCTTGGCAAGCCATCAATCAGATGCACCAATTGGCTACAGCGGCTAATAAAAGGTTAAGGAAGACTCACCGGTACAAGCCATGGGCCGACGTTCGGGGAGCACTCGTAGAAGCACAGGTCCTGTCTCATCCACTGCTCGCAAGTCGTAGACAAGGGTGTATCGCAATGGTTCCATTTGAAATCATGCCATATGGGCTGGATGTGAAGGTCTTCAGTGATCTCTTCCGTGCAACAGGAACGATTCTTCCATGCAGAACACTGATGAAGGTTTGATAAAGCAGAAAATATGAGAATTTTAAAACAAGTATACATGGAGTGCATTGTTTAACAATGTTCCTAGTTTTAAAAATCTGAGATGCATGGCCCTACATGTTATCAGTGTCTGTCATATCGTGTAATATTGAAGCCCTAAAAAAATTCACTTCAAAATGATTATAAGTGCTTCAAAAAAGAAAAATCTTTGAGTGACAGGTTTTTATCAAACTCATTTTCCCTAATAGACTACCGGTAGTAGCTTTTGACATTTCTAATTCCAATCATAAATATCTTGATAATCACTTAAGATCCAAGGCGAGTTTGTGTGAGAGCAGTTTTACTGTATCACACCCATCATTAACATAAAAATGTGAAATTTCTTTTAATCATTTCAAAAGGGACAGTTTACTTTATCCAGTGAAGGATAAATCTTTCAGAATCAACTCTAAGCATGTAATTTCTTGAAAATACAAGTTCTCAATTATTGACCTTTTCATTTTATCAACACCTTGGATTAAGGAAACAGACGTTTAGAGACTTTGGTGGTAAGCGCTTTATAAGCACCATTTTTTTATTATTATTATCATTATTAACCTGGAACGGAAGGTTAAATTTATCAAAAGTGAGGTTATAACCTAGAGCAGAACTATTTATCTTTTTATGTTAAGGGTTTAAGCCCGTCTGTACTAGTTTGGCCGGAAGGGGGGGGGGGGGATTAGACCTCCCTGCAAGGTCACTGACAGGTGGCTATCTCGTCAAATCAGCTCTCAATTAACATAAGAAAGAGGGGATCATGGGGGACCAACAGGCACCGATTAGGCATTGTTTGGTATGTAGAGGGCGCAAGTAGCTATAGGTAGTGCAGAGGGGCTTTAAACTGATCGTAAATTCCATAAACGGCTTCCGCCAGGAAGCATTAAAGACTGACCTGACTAAAGAGAGCACTTTCTGGACCAGGCTTGTCCTTATGGAACTTCCCATCCAGGCATCGTTCGGTGTAGTACTCAACCGTCTGCTCAGGCTCTGTAGATGCAGCCAAGCACAGGTCCACCGAGATTAGCGACAGGACTAGCAGAGTGCAGATGACTTGGTGTTCCATGGTAGCAGGTGTAATCAGATCTGGCAACAAAGACTGTATGCACATAGAGAAATAAGAACACACACACATGATAAATGACAATTACATGTATCTTAAAAAAAAATCAAATAGACCAGTTTACAACACATATTTAAAGGACCCATCCCCCCCCCCCCTGAATAATTTGTTTCACTCTAATATACATCAATTTATTCAATTATCACTATGTCAGGCAAGCATCAGAAAGCTTCTAAAATGTAATAAACAACTCTTTAAAATTACCTTTAAAAAAAATCAATACAGGCACAAACGAGCTTGCAGCAAGTTGCACAGAATAACCTTACAAATTACAATCAAGTATCAGTAACTGTTATCATTTTGTTGACCTCCCTTTGTAATATAGTATTATAGTTCATGTTTTTTATGTGTTGAGACACAAAACTTTTTCATCACCACCTGTTTTATTTCATTGCATAAATTCTGCTTATCCATGGTACTTAAAATACAGTTATCTGTGAAACAATCTGCTGAGTCTGCAAAATCCATTCTGCTCCTGTTTGCATATTTACTTTTGTAGAGTAATAAAGGGTAACTTATCTCAGTTCAAAAGTTCAGACAATAATCTTCTACACACAATTGTACACATACCGTAGTCCCACAAGTAAAAGAAAAAAAATAGACAGGGAGGAGGGGTGCTGAGCCCACCCCTCTTTAAAAAATCCCTAAATAAACAATTAGTTATAGGTACTACATGTATGTCCCATTTGCAGGCCAAAAAAAAAAGAAAAGGTTGAATTCCAATGGCATTTGAAAGATAAATTTAGAACTTCCCTAAATAAAGGGGGGCTTGAAAATGTCTTTAAGTTGGAAAATAATGACTATTAGCTGTCAAATCGACTTAAGAGCTATAGAGCCAGTTAGTAATAGTCTGATTTTCAGACTATTTCAGACCATTGTACCGAATGGTCGGACGTTTTATGCTGCGCAAAGATTCAATAATTTTAATTTTGGTCATTACAAGAAGTGGGTTATTGATGTATACAAATGCTCATGTACCCTTTACAGCTCATTTTATGTACCGTATGTTATTACCAAAGAAGAAAACAGGGCCAGTCAGTCACTCGATAGTGTCTGACAGTGAAGTCTAGCAAGTAAACGGGTTTCCTGGCATAATTTGAATATTAGGACACTGCTAGCATTTACATTTCACAGATGGGACATTCATGACATATTCATAATTCCTGCAAAGTTCTACAGAATTTGATGTTGGCAGCAAAAGGGACATAGTATCTTTAATGGTGATAACACGTAATATTATTGTGGGGGAGAGCTTAAGGTGGTTGTAGTCTTATAAGATTCCCCCCCCCCCCCCTGACCCCAGAAAAAAAGATAATCCATAGAACATGTTTGTTACTGGATGATAATATCACACAAATTTTCTGACTTACGTAAGTGACGTAACATTGCACCAGCGAATAAAATTTATCCCTAGTTATCTATTTGAATAGATCTCCTAAATACATGTACATTTATGAACCTGCCACTTTTTAACAAGATCTTCACTTTCAATAGAAAGGAATTCATATTTTATCTATTTTTTAATTGAGATCACACAATTTTTTTTGGTGGAGAAATAAAAATATTCCCTTTGATTCTGTAGCGACATGAATGTTAAATTTTCAAAGCACACGCTTACAGTAGGATCACAGCCACGGTTACAATCTCTCTCAATTTACTACTCTCTATTCACATTAAGCTTTTGAGCCAGAGGATTATTCGCTGAATCAAAATACTAGAGCATAAAAGTCAATCAGTCACAAACAGAATTTAGAAACAAGAACTACACTTCATCCTACATGAGCAGAATGAGCCAAGCAACATTGAATCTTAGTTTCCAATTCCTCTCCTGCTTTCCCGTTTCCGGTTTTGTTCCAATTCTTTTGAATGTCAACTGGAATAGGTACTGGGTACATGTCATGTATAAAATCATATGTGTTTGAATAACAATCCTGCCAAAGTGGAAATGATACATACATGTACATGTACAGTACATGTAGTAGTAGGCCTGAGTCATGTCGGGATTTTCATAAACCGGGTCCCGACGGCCTTGTACCGATCGGGACCCGGTGTCCCGAAATTAGCTCGCAGGATTTGTCACTTGCCTCTTTAAAAAGCGCATATCATCAGTATGTCCCTTAAAAGTGACCCTTTTTATCAATCAAATTAATAAACACATGCATACCTCGGCTCAGATCGGTATATTCTTCCATTTGACATTATTTTCATCCATGATTGGCGATGTTTAGTGCCATTTTCGTGCCTCTAAAAGTAAAAAAAACTGGGGCAGAAATGGAAAGACAACATTCGAGCCGCCATTTTGATTTATGCAGGTTGAATAAATCTGGTCAAAAAATATGAATGTTATAATAATAAAACGGCTTTCTAAAAAAAATTCTGTACAATATACCGATCATATAAAATTTTAAAGACAAAATATCTCTTATTTCAAACATCGCATGCTTTTTTTTTAAAGCTGAAAATTACTTGGTAATCAAGAGTTTCGATACGGATAGCCGTTGCAAGGCAAGTTGAGACTAGTCTCGGAAAAATGCCCAGTGCTCCTCGTATTTAGCTGTAATGCGTGCCAGAACGAACCCAAACAAAGACGTGATCGTAACGAGAAAAAAATCATTAAAAACTACGAGAGCACAATTGGAAAGACAACTACTGCTCAAAATTACCATAATCAGATAGATAACTTGGACAAAGAATTCAATAATCGCCCAAGAAATGCCACAGAAATTGTGATAATCAAGGAGTAACTGGTTACATTTTTATCGCAAGGAGCCTGCTGCAAATACTCAAATCCTTTGTTATACTGCTTTTTACCGTAGAGGGCGGTATTTGCCTCATATAGCCTCGTGTTCAATTTAAACACGTGTAATTCGGATATTGCAGCAGGCCCTTCCGATAATGATTGTACCTATAGTAACTCCTTAAATATCACTATTTATGTGGCTTTTCTTGGACAACTATTGTTTTCTTCCTCCAAGTTATGTATCTGCTTACGATAATTTTGAGTAGTTGTCTTTCCAATTGTGCTCTCGTAGTTTTTAATGATTTTTTTTCTCGTTACGATCACGTCTTTGTTTGGGTTTGTTCTGGCACGCATTAAAGCTAACGAGGAGCACTGCGCATTTTACCGAGACTAGGCTGAACTTGCCTTGCAACAGCTATCCGTATCGAAACTTCTTGTGATTACCAAGTAATTTTCAGCTTTTAAAAGAAGCATGCGGTGTTCGAAATCAAAGAAAAAATATATTCTTTTGTCTTTTAAAAATTATTCGATCGGTATGTCGTAAAGAAGTACTTTTTAGAAAGCCGTTTTATTATTCAAACATTAATGTTTCTTTCAACCTGATTTATTAATCCTGCCGAGAGACCCGGCCAGTACAGTAGCTAGCTAGCAGCTGGCAACGACAACCCCATGGGCCGGGCGAACTGCCTTGCAACCCATATTTATATCACTTATCAGCAGTTCGGATTGATTCAGGATGAGCTAGAATATGATTATGGTAACCATTAAATACTTAAGTTTTAAGGTGGATTGATTTTAGTGGTGTGCAAAACTGCAATTTCTTACATATTTCGTTATTTACTTATTTTTTTCGGAGCGTCGGTTCTCAAAAAACGAAACCGGGACCCGACAGCAACGGTCGGGTCCCGGTGTGATCGACCGTACCGACTCAAGCCTATGTAGTAGCTTAAAGGGCAATCCAACCCTTGCAATAGGTTCATTTCAATGACAGTAGAAAACTCAGAGAAATAGAATAATGACAGTTTGAAATAAATATGACAAATCTCAAATCAACAATTTTTTCTGTGGATTATGACATAGTGACGGAGACCTCTCCAATTAGTCATGTTAAAAAATGGCACTGAATTCAGTTTTACTCCCAAGTTCCTTCACCCTTGGGGCACTAGGCCTACTCAACATATAGTTATGGAGAGTTTGTTATGACAGTCAAACAAATTTGAAAAATTGAAATTGTAATGATTTTGCTTGTTGGAACAAATGGGAAAGTCGTCCGCCACTACATCACAAAGACATTATAGATTCTGCCAATTTGAAGAGCCCATACCTAGAGCGATTGCTTATTAAAATCACACTATTACTAATTGGCAAGTTCTTCTGACACCCCCTCTCATTAAAAATATCTAACTACCATCCTGTAACTAATAACAAAGACAATGTTGAAACATGTCTAGACATACAGTCCCGAATTCACGAAGGAGGTTTGTAGACAATACCTCCTTTGTGAATTCGGGCCAAAGGGTACAAGTCATGGTAGAGAATAATTGAAGCTTGTGAAACAAATATTTTGGCAATTATCCAGGGATCCTTTTTTTTCTCACAAGAAACACACCTCTTCTCGTCTGAAGTTTTTATCTCAAGAACATGTGAAATAATTTTCTTCAACTTCAACTTCAAAGTTAGATGTTAGAATTTTCAGGGGATAGCAATAACCTTTTTATTTTGTAGTCTCAACTTTTAGGCCCTACTGCATATGGACATTCTCATCTTTTAAAGATACTATGTCCCTTTGGCAGCCAACATCAAATTCTGTAGAACTTTGCAGGAATTATGAATATGTCTGGTTTAAATTTCACAGATATACATGACTTATGTATGTCTTAGATGTGAAATTTAAACATTAGCAGAATCCTAGTATTCAAATTATGCAAGGAAACCCGAGACTTTCCGTGTCAAAAACTGTTGAATTACTGACCGACATCTTTTTTCTTTGGTGATAACATACATAAAATGAGCTGTAACAGGTACAAGTCTTTGATGGGAAAAGGGGTGATTCCTCGTCCTAAACCGAGCAATCCAAAGGGGTGATTCCTCGTCCTAAACCGAGCAATCCAAAGGGGTGATTCCTCGTCCTAAACCGAGCAATCCAAAGGGGTGATTCCTCGTCCTAAACCGAGCAATCCAAAGGGGTGATTCCTCGTCCTAAACCGAGCAATCCAAAGGGGTGATTCCTCGTCCTAAACCGAGCCATCCAAAGGGGTGATTCCTCGTCCTAAACCGAGCAATCCAAAGGGGTGATTCCTCGTCCTAAACCGAGCAATCCAAAGGGGTGATTCCTCGTCCTAAACCGAGCCATCCAAAGGGGTGATTCCTCGTCCTAAACCGAGCAATCCAAAGGGGTGATTCCTCGTCCTAAACCGAGCAATCCAAAGGGGTGATTCCTCGTCCTAAACCGAGCAATCCAAAGGGGTGATTCCTCGTCCTAAACCGAGCCATCCAAACATGGATGGCTCGGTTTAGGACGAAGAAATCACCCCTTTTCTCATCAAAGACTTGTTCAAGTTATAATTTCAAGTGTGGTCAGGTGCGACAGGCCCAGAAGAGTAAAAAACACTGTAAGTCATAATTTGTAATTACTACCGTTACACACTTCGGGAAAAAAGTCGCCACAATCGCTGTTTGATTTTTGTTTCAGATTTCGCACTGGAGGTCTGACGCCATTGGTGTCGGCGTCGGAGCTCCCTGGAGTTACTATACCCTGTAGGAAACTCAACAACTTTAAAGTCACGACCATTATTTGAACAATTGATGAAGATTTTGTTGATTTTCAGTACGCTTTAGATCTAGTAGGGTAAAGCCACGGCGGAGTTACGGCTGAAAGTCTGGATATGATTCTGAACTAGCACCCAATCCACACTGCACTGCCTCCTTTTCCTACCAACCAAGTCCCCGATTCTCACGCACTCACTCAATGAATGGTTTCCAAAACCAAAATATCCTAAAACTATAAGTACAACTGCCAAAAGATACTCCAGAATACCGCTTTCGATATTCATAACGTTGAAAAAATTGATTAAACAGTACAACATTCTGCATGCGTACACAAAAAAGGATAGGTGCAATGCAACGACCGAAGCCGTGTTACCAGCCCGATGCTATGGGCGATATTTGTTTAGAGTTCTCGCTGGCTAGGTGGCGCGCGTTGGCAACTCAATCCAGTTCAGACACAATCACACAACACATTATTGGAATCTTGCCAAAAATACAAGCTCATTAAACCGATATCCAATTTATATTAACAAAATATGTACCGACATAGGTACCGACAACTTCAAGGTGATATTTTGGTAGGCCCTGCAAATACCTAACTCTAAATCAATTCGAATTAGCTTTGCAAGAACAATTTCTTACCTAAATGTACTGTTGACATAAGACACGCAGGATTCACGGCGAGAAGTTGCGAGATCGCCAGCCCGAGCACGTGTGATATAAGTGCCAAGTGCTAGTCTCTCTACCAGCTAATTATGTTTTCTCGCCCTCTTCGAATAGTTCCCAGATAAGGGCACAAAAGGGCTTTTCTAAATTCGTTTTTTAGTTCAAAACAAAAAATATTTATAGAATTAAATCCTTACTGGAGCAGTGTTAACGGTGAAACGTTGTGATTTATTAATTCAAAAATTTATCTTTGCAACAAACTCATAATGTATTTGTACGAAAGACTAAGCCAAACAAACGGGAATGTCAAGGGAATGGAAGTTTACACCGGAATTTTACACCAGCAACGAATAATATCCAAATTACCTTGATGGCAGGGGCGGCGATCTGGGGGGGGGGGGCGGACGGGACGGACAAGTCCCCCCCCCCCCCTCTCAATTTTTTTAAAGTCCTCCCCTCTCCCCGAAAAATATGAAAAAGTGCAAGAAAAAAGGTATAGCAAACACTTTTAGGCTTTGGAGGTAGGCACGTAGCCAGAGTTTGATGTTTGGGGGGGGGGGGGGGGCACATACATGTAATCGATCGAGGTAAAGGGGTCTAAAAAAGTTCAAACGATCTTGGATATTTTTTTTGGGGGGGGGGGCACGTGCTCCCCCCCCCCCACGTGGCTACGTGCCTGTTTGGAGGGCCCTAGAGTGCAGCGTTTAGATATATAAAAATCTTCGCGTTCCCTCGCATAATATCCTTTAAAATTTTAAATGTACAATTAAATATTGTAGAAAATCTGTATTCCGTTGATATTACGTGAGCACTGTTTACAAGATTAAGAGTTATAGAAATAGATTATTGCTACAAAAATGAATATTCCGTTTTCTTTTTTAAAGGGAAAGTCCACCCCCAAAATAAGTTTGTTTCGATAGAGGCAGAATAATAAGAAAATCAGGTGAGTGAAAGTTTGAGCAAATTCTGAATGAAAATAAGAAAGTTATGAATTATTGAATTTGTGATCAATCAAACACAAATTGGCAACTCTATGACGTATCATGCGAGCTCAACTTCCATTTGCTCAGTACTAAAAAAATCTAAAATTTTCATTTTCCCTCAAGAAAAATTTCAACCATACATGCACCCTAAATATAATAATTGCAAATATGTTTCTATACTCCCCCTGCAAGGAACAAATATATATTCCGTCATCAATAACGAAGAAAACATGATTTTATGGAATATTATGCACAAAGCAAATGAAGGAGAGCTCGTATAATAAGTCACAGAGTTGCCAATTTGTATTTGATTGATCACAACTTCAATAATTCATAACTTTCTTATTTTTATTCAGAATTTGCTCAAACTTTCACTCACCTGATTTTCTTATTATTCTGCCTCTATCGAAACAAACTTATTTTGGGGGTGGACTTTCCCTTTAAGAAGTCCTTTCCTGCCTGGTTAAAAAAAATATTTTCACCTAAGGGGCATTTTGTTTCCCCCCGACCCCCCCCCCCCCCCCCCCCCCACCTCGGTCATGAAAAGAAATCGTCTCCCATGCTCTTGATGGTATGCATTTAATTACGGCCAGATGAGCATATATATTTTGATACCTCATTTGTGATGACACTGGCGGCTTGCAAGCAAAATGTAGGGAATATGATGTAGATTAATGAAAAAGAACCGGCCAGATTCTGTATTGGCCTACCAGTACCAGTGTTATGCCTACTCTGAGCTCAGACTGAGCTTCAGATGGCGCTACTCGATATAATATAGACTGTGCCATTGATAACGAGTGAATTTTGCCAACACGGTTCGAGCTGGGCACAGCAAGTATGGCGAATACATCATCATTATTATCCATTTATTTGAAACGTGCTTTCAATTATCAGTTAATTCTGCTTAATATATTTGTTCATTCTATTTCATAAAATTTGTCAATTTTCCCATTCTCATAAATGCCGTTATTAATCTCTAGTAAGTGCCCCGTTTCAGGTACGAGAAATGCTCCTTTCTCTTTTGATTAGTGCCCCCTTCACTTTTAATAATTGCCCTTGTCAAATCTGAGAGATGCCCCTTTTACTTTGATAAGTGTCCCTTTTCCTTTGTACGTGCCCCTTTTCCATTCTAATAAACGCCCTCCCTCTTTTAATAACTACCCCTTTTTAACTGAGATAAGCACACCTGTAATTTTAATATGTGCCCCCATTAACAAAAAAAGAGCGCCTTCTCTTCTCATAAATGCCCCTTTTCACCTATGACAAGTGTCTCTTTTCAATCTTATAAGTGCCCCTTTTCATCTATGGTAAATGACCCTATTTTGGTACGAGAAGTTATTCCTTTTCACTTCAGATAAGTGCCCCCTTCACCTCCGATAACTGCTCTTTTCATCTCTGATAAGTGTCCCGTTTATATTGACATGTGACTATTTTTCTTTTTAATAAAAGCTACTTCCCCCTTCTCATGAAAGCGCTCTTACACCTCCGAAAAGTGCCCTTATTACAATTTGTTCGGTACCCCTTTTCCTTCAAAAAATACAAATTTCCCTTTTAACAATGATACGTGCCCCTTTTCCTTTTAATAAGGGACCTATCCACTTTTCACCTCTTATAAATGCCCCTATCAAAATATGATTGGTGCCCCATTTCCTTCAACAAATGCCCATTTCCCATTCTCATAAGTGCTTTTTTTCATCCCTGGTGAGTGCCTCTTTCTAGGTGTAAGAAGTGCCTCATTCTCACCTCTGATAATTACCCTTTATTTTTTTGGACACGTGCTCCTTTTCTTGTGTAATAATTGTCTTGATTTATCCCTTTCGATAAGTGTCCCCTTTTCCTCTCATCATTAAACGTGTTCCTAATTTAAAGCGACTAAGAGCAATTTCCCCCAAAGCTCGCTCGCTACACTCGCTTGCATTTATAAATGATATAATTATGTTACTTGTCAAAGGTCATTTCAGTCTTCCGTTATGAGAATGTGTTTATAACCTCATCAGGGTTGTTTTTCCTCTTTATAAGATGTAATTTTTCGCACTGCGACCTCACAAATCTTTAAAGATTTTCCTTGCTCGTTCGCAAATGAATATTCAGACATCACACCGAACTGCAAAGTACAGTGCAAGCAAAATTAAGAGAAACAAATATTGAAATGATCCCTGATAATGTAGGGGTATATACCAATGTCTAGTAATTGTATATTTTCGCTTCGAGATTTCCCATTGTAGGTTTCCTTTTTTCCAGAAAGTGCCCCTTTTTGTTGGTGCCCCCCCCCCCACTTTGGAAGTCGCTCGGCCACCCTTATCGCGTATATAGCGCCACCAGAATTAGACCGATAAGTTACAGTTCCAGTCTGTTCTTGAAAGAGCAGTGAATTGCCCGAAGAAAAAAAAAGGGGGGGGGGTACCCATAACTTCTTTATAGATCATGTTCGATATCAGTAATACTCGTGATATACAGCTAACAATAGGATTAATTGAGAGTAAAGATGAAAATATGCAATTCCTTGGATAATAACATAGTCAGACCCTTATAAGGCCAAGTTGTAATGTATGTTTTGACTATTGATTCCATCGGTCATTCATTTCATTCAGAAACGTCACTGACGTTGTCTTATCCGTACCACATCGGTAGCGTATCCAGCATAGGTTGAAGCCAGCAGTCCCGCTGGACTTATCCAAGTACGGTGCTTAAGAATAATGACTCATGTCTCTAGGACCTTTGCACATATTATTAATTGTGATTGTTACCCCGGTCATCAAGTTTCTCATTATTGGGAGTATTCTTACCATGGTCATCGTCGTAGTGAGGATATTATGTCAAAAATCTCAGAAGCTCTTAATTGTCAATCTACCAGATCTTCATTTCGCTCCCCTGGGTATGGTGGGGGAAATATTTTTTGATAGATTAATGCCTTGCCAAAGGACACTATAGTGACGTGCTGGGATTGAGCTCAAGATCCGACTTCCCTACCCATCATACTAAACTTGATGTTTTGTTTATTCCCCACCCCCCCCCCCCCCACCTCCAACCCCCTACCCCCTCTCTCTCTCTCTCTCTCTCTCTCTCTCTTTCTCTCTCTCTTTTCATTCTCACGCACACACACACACACACATACACACGACGTTGTTGCGGCTTCGATAAAACTCCCGTGAAGAAATAGTCAGGGATTCTGCATGTATATATCAAGGAAATAGTTATGTTTCTATTTCCGATATAATTAGGAGATAAAGAAAAGATAAGAATTTTCAAGGAGAAAAGTAACGGAAAATAAAATTATCCGGCGGTATTACCGTACACCGACTTTCCGGTCTTCTTTTTTCATTCCAATGTAATGCGGACTATATATCTGATGCGGATGCACAATAAAATAATACATCTATGCATTCAATATTTTGAAGAAAATTGTACTTTACCTTTGAGTTGCAAGGAACTCGATTCATCTAACTACTTATGAGCGTATATCAGGTGACATCTCTGGCATTTCATCGGCTTTACAGTTGATCAATTTGAATGACACATTATTGAACGATGTTCATGAAAATGGCAGCATGCGGTCACCTTTTCCCTTCTTTATGTCCTTCTTCTGCTTCTTCTTATGATAAGTTTCCTTCTCCTTTTCCCTTAATATTTTATTTTCTGCCTTTCATAACATGTGTAATTACAGGAATACTTAAAGAAGGAATACATTATTAGTAGTGTGTGTTTTTAAGTAATGCGATTGGCCGCGTTACTGCAATTAGGTGGACCGTTGAAGCTACTAAATGATGTAATGCTCTTTTTTTTTTTTACATATTGAAATTATACAGGGCCTATCTACGAAGCTAAGGAACAAGTCTTATCTATGAATTAAACATGATAGTACACTCAATCCCGGAGGAGCAGATGATAGTAATGATCTTAAAACATAAGCTGATTAACTAGTTCACTAATATGTCAGGGACATTGATGTTCAAAGGACTCAGATTTTAATACAGGATGATGGGGAGGAAATCAGACAGAGAAAAATATAGCTCTATGTCAATAAAAAGAGGGGGAAAATAGAGAGAGAGAGAGAGAGAGAGAGAGAGAGAGAAAGAGGTGGTGGGGT